GATAATTCAAAATCAATGTCTTTTGCGTCAATTATTTCATTGAGGTCCTCAAATTTCCTGCCCAACACTCAGCAACATAATCGATCCTAACAAAACCAGGTACCCAATTTGGTGAATGCCTTTTGCTGAACACGACAACCGTCCACAATGTTAAAATGGTGTCGAAATGTTTCCACCCGCCGGGAATCGAACCCGGGCCCTCCGTGTGTGAAGTGGGAGCTTTAGCCACCAGGCCACCTAGACCTTTCACTGGCCAGTTAGAGATCTAAATGAAAGGATTAATGGCATACTTCCCTGTGAGTAATTGTCATATCCCATATCTTCTGCGATCCACATGTAATTCTTGAGGTCCCGCAAATTTCCTGCCCCAATTCTTCAGCAGGGGACATTAATACAGATTCCTACTACAAATTCAGGTCGAAAAAACCCAATTTGGCCATTAAGATGCCAGGTTATTAGCTGAATTTTCCACGACAACCAGTGCCCACAATTTACAAATGGTGTCCCCTTTTCTGGAGTCACTCAGCAGCTATTCTACACCCCCTCACTCAAAATTTCTTGAAAGGGTCAAATCAGCATCGTATTTTATTACACAATTATTGTATTATTCAAATTTACACATGCTGAATTTAGGGAAATCCAAAATTTTCTACATGTACACTAAGCTTACATAAAACTTACTTTCTTAAAAGCTGGTTAATCTTAGAGAAAAGTTTGGATTGATTTTTGGCTTTTGTAGGTTCCATTTTTTTTTTTTTTTGTGACAAAATTTGAAAATTTGAAATATTGTTTTTCATGCAATAATTCCTGAGTATCGTAATCAATTTCCACGTTGATTATCAAATACCGCAACATCTGAGTGGCTTGAAGCTTAATGTGGTTTTGGATCTCTGAAAGATTTGAGCCAAATTTCATTTTTATTGAAGAAATCTGGATATTGGTTTCCATGTGATGACTCGTGAATGCCTCGATTCCCTTCAAATCTTCAATGCTAATATTTAACTGCATTATCAACACAGGCCATTTATGGCATTTTATTGTGAAGACGTTTCACCAACCATAGACTATATTGGCCCATGTCACACACTGGAATTGATAGTCCTTAATGGGCAAAACGTCTTTTAAATTAAATGCATAATCGTCATTGTGTTTTATTTTCACAGCTTGCCATAACCCAGGTACATCAAGATGAAGGCTACATGAGTTTTCTTTTTAACACTTAAATGTTAAATAGGCCCTTTGGGGAAGAATGCGTGTATTTAGTGCCTCTGTTTACACTGCGTAGCTGTGTATGTGAACAATCTTCATTATGATAGTTACCAGAAGTATACATCGTATTTTTTAAAAACCTCACGTTTCTCTTAATAATGTAAATAAACCATTGGATATTGCATGATGCAAATAGCTTAAGACTGTCTATTATAAGTATTATTATCATAGGGGAGCCCCCCCCCCCCCCACAGGTGGGTGGAAGGCATTCAGGCTGAAGCACAGATCCAATTCCCTAGATCAAGAGCCCCTCACCAGCATCTGGCCCCTTGAGGGGCCAGACTGTCTATGAAGAGTTCTGAAAATGCTTGTGTGAGGGTTGAGGGCTGTCACTAGGACGAGGTGGTGGGGGGGGGGGGTATCACCGCTGGTCACATGACCTCCAGGTGACTTGCTGGGGTTACCCTGATTTCCCAGTCAGTGTAAACTGGGAGTTGAGTGAGTGTAAGTGTAGCATCTAACTGTCGTCACCCTGAGTGGTATATCTCACCAGCAGTCTAGGTTGAGTAGTTATGTACAGTACATACCAGTTGAGAGCTTAGTTAGGATTAATAATATGTACAGTAATCCACCAGGGGTTAGTGATATTTACCAGACTGCGGGGGGGGGGGGGGCGTTGATCCCTGAAACCCCCTCCAAGTATACAGTTTGAATATTTGGTGGGGCAGAGATTTATTTTAATAGTTTTATTACCTGAATTAGAGTAATGATCAGTTACTGAAATTTTGCATTAAATAATTGCACGAACTTTTATATAATAATAGCATATAATATCTTTATTTACTACAAGTACATGTACAAGGTACACATTCCTAGCTGACATCAATGACATACTATATAGAAAGCCGCTTGTTATGCTGAGCATTTCGCTGGGAGTCGAACCCCAACCCTCACCGTGTGAAGCGTTTATCTTATTTTTAATTTTTAACGTAATAGTAACCAGCATCATTTATATGTAACTTCCATCATTAATACATGACTAGCATCATTAATATGTAACTAGCATCATTTATATATAACTAGCATCATTAATGGTATGCAATACCAAAACAGCTGTTGCACATATCTTACTCATCTAGGCACCTAGCAACTAGCACTACGCAAATAGCATCATCATCTTCCTCTAAGTCTGGGCGGCGGCGGGCCAGTAGAACTGCAGTTTTCGCTCAGTCTCAGGCACTTCTTGACTTACCTCTACATTCTGCGCCTCACCATACTTCAGTGTTCCTTCTGTCCTTCCTTCCTCTCTTAATTGTTGGGCTTAACGGACTATCGACCTTTAAGGAAGTCACGAGGTCACTTACCAGCAGAGGTAGACAAAGAGGAACACATATATATATATATATATAATGGATATGGGAGGGGACAGTGTACGTTAAAGGTAAAACCATGGAAGAAGTGCCTAAGTAGAAGAGGATATAGAAAGTCAAGGTGACAAGTTCATTGTGGTTGCAGGAAGGTACTGCGGGTCATGGTTCTCTCTGCGTCCTTGTACTGGCTTAATGAAGCTCCTGGAGAGCGAAACGCAGCCGTAATAAACGTCTTGATAGCTGCCTTGTCTTTGCTGGGACACCTGAGCAATAAAACTAATAAAACTTTGGGTTTCAAAGTTTATTTCTAAACATTACAAAGAATTTTCACGTGTAAACAAAAGTCCCTAAAATTAAGTTTGAGTGCACTTGTTATCTTTATAACGTGTTCTAGCTGTCTACTATGACGAAATCAATGTTACCAAAGAACATACAAGAATGTATCAGTTAATAAAAGCTGTTGATACACTTAAGATATATATGGTCGAAACTTATTGCTAATATTTATGCATATCTCGAACAACCACTCTACTTCCCCTTATTAATTATTAAGTCGTGAATCAAAGCTGGTGGCATCGAATCATCCCAGTTAAAAAATCTAATATTTTGTTTATAAAAAAACTAATTTGAGCGTGACGTTGAAAAATCAATGAGTATTTTTCACATCTTCAGAAGCTTCTTGATCGTCTCAGGTTGTCTCGCAGACACAACAGTGTCTGGTTCATGAAACATTCACTACTGATACAGTCTTCACACAGACGTAAGTTCAGAGCTTATCAACCTATCATGGTTCATCAAGGCTGCAAGTTGCCTTTACACTAGCAGTCACGATTATCTTAATTCCCATAAGGATAAAAAGTAAACTCCCGGAGTGTATACGATGGGAAAAAAACATCTCGCTCAAGTGTGGAAAAGTATACAAGTGAAGTATAATGCGATCCAATGTCAATAAAGGATCGCATTATACAGCATTTGTGTCTATTTTTCCATCATGTCGGTGTTTTATACTATTTATCTCTCAGGTGTACATAGCCGATATGCAATACTTTCCTGTTACTCGTAACAGTCCTCGATGATACACTTCTCCATGTAGCTTTGTAATTTAGGAATGGCAATATATTATGTTTGGTTTCCTTTATTATGCATATAGTTGACGGTGGATGTAACGGGCATAGTGATACGGAAATATGAATTGTTCTCTTAATGGTTGTGACGTGACACTGTCAAGGTGAGCCTTGATGTGCTGTTGTGACGTGGCACTGTCAGGGTAAGCCTTGGTGTGCTGTTGTGACGTGGCACTGTCAGGGTAAGCCTTGATGTGCTGTTGTGACGTGGCACTGTCAAGGTGAGCCTTGATGTGCTATTATGCAATGCCCTGAGCCTTGTTAAAGGTCGCGATAGTGTTGCGTGTGATGTTGCATGTGTGGAAGCACCAGCGTATGTGCTGGCACCTGCGTATGTGCTGGCACCAGCGTAGGTGCTTGCACCGGAGTATCTGAGTATGTGTTGGCACGAGCGTGTGTGCTGGCACCTGCGTATGTGGTGGCACAAGCGTATGTGGTGGCAGCAGCGTATGTGATGGTACCAGTGTATGTGGTGGCACCAGCGTATATGCTTGCACCTGAGTATGTGTTGGCACCCGCGTGTGTGCTGGGACCAGTGTATGTGGTGGCACCAGTGTATGTGGTGGCACCAGTGTATGTGGTGGCACCAGCATATGTGCTGGCACCTGTGTATGTGGTGGCTCCTGTGTACGTGGTGACACCTGCGTATGTGGTGGCTCCTGTGTATGTGGTGGCTCCTGTATATGTGGTGGCACCTGCATATGTGGTGGTTCCTGTGTATGTGGTGGCACCTGTGTATGAGTGGCATCTGTGTATGTGGTGGAAACACTGGTTGCATTGTATGAAGGTAAATTTTTAAAACTGGGACAATGTTTTTCTCTTATTGTCCCGCTAAAAACATGTTTCAGAACTTGTCTTTGTTTACATATTAGTCTGGAATAATCCGTCTCGCCCACCTGTTGTGTGGCAGTCGTCAACATTCAGTTACACAAGAAACACGTCTGTCATGAACCATACAGAATACACAATTAACGACTTGTGTGAAGCGCGTTGCAAAATGTTGCCTTCTCTTTAGGTTACACTCTCTAACACTGACAGAAAGTTGCCTATGCAAGATGCTAGCTCATGTAATTTTACGAGGAACATTCATAGCTAACAAAGTCTCTTGAGGACAGAATCATTTATGATCACAAGGGTGTCTTGAAGCTCTCACGACGGTGTTGATGCCTTAAATAACAAAAAAGGGCACAATACCGTGACTGGAACGATACACAAATAACCCGCACATAGAAGAGAGGAGCTTACGACGACGTTTCGGTCCGACTTGGACCATTTACAAAGTCACACTGTGACTTTGTAAATGGTCCAAGTCGGACCGAAACGTCGTCGTAAGCTCCTCTCTTCTATGTGCGGGTTATTTGTGTAATGGTGCCTTAAATACAGGAGTAATTTTGTTTTCTGTTTTAATTCGTTGACACCTGTGTAACTCGTCCTCAGCTCTGTTATCTGGGCGGAAGACTCACACCTGAAGCAACCTGGCTGCTAACGTATGAATGATGTTCCTCTCGTATGTATAAACGCATCAACGTTGTCTTGTGACACACGTACTCGCATCCACATCTGAGCCCACGGGCTGCCCATGTTCACCTTGCATAGGCTGTTGTATTATAGGAAAGGACCCCCGCGAAAATAAGCCAGTCTAATTGGCTTCCTCGGTCTCTTTAGTGTTAAGAACCCTAGAAATTATCTTCTTCACCCACACTCACACACTTGAAAACCGTGAAGATGACAAGCGTCTACACCAAAATGCCGTAGCGGTTACACTGACACTTCTACATCAAGACAGCTGCAGCAATGAAGATGATACACTTCTACACCAAGCCAGCCTTGGCGATGAAGAAGACAAGGTTCTACATCAAGACAAAGCAACACTTCAGTGGGAGTCGAGGCGGACCAGGTTCTCTGGAGGGCTACCCACGTCGAGGAGGAGGTGTGTGAAGAGTGGGTGTCGGTGAAGGGCGAGGAGGGAGTACCTGAGGGTATTGAGGCCGTCAAGTCTGTATCGTCGGCCGGATGTTCTCACCAACTTGCCCCGCACCTGATAGAAACATCGCAGAGTTGTTAATTTGTTTGTCAAGGATAAAAAAAAAAATCCTAACGCGAATCTAATCGTATGACATCCCAGATGAATTCCTTTAAAACACCTTCATTGAAGACGTTTTGGTCTTTGGGCCTCGAGCGCTTGAAAGTGATCTAGGTTCAAGGGGCGAAACGTCTTCAGTAATGGTGTCTTAAGTGAATACCTTAGTGCCCGTTTCCCTCAAGTTGTTGGCAGTTATTTTACCTTCGTGCTGCGCCTGCTGCTCCTCTCAATGGCTCATTTATAAGGAAAGTTTAAACAATTATGTATTTTACTTCAGGTCACGGATTTATTGTCTCTGGCAATTTTTGTTATTCACGAGAATCTCTAAACTTATGTGGGTCATTCGGAGCTCGGAGTGATGGAGGTTCGATCTTCCGTTCTCTGGTGGTGAAACAAACTCCGACTCCCGTAGCCAGGCTTCGCCATAATGTTCATGACTTAACACCTGGCGTTCTTTATCACTGGCGTGTAGCTGTACATTACACATGTGAAATACCTGGGTGTCTTTAGTTGACGTCTCGCCAACCTGTGGCTTTATCAGTTCATCAAGACTAAGTGCTGAAAGTTAAGACACATGTGCAACATCTGGGTATCTTTATTGTAGACGTTTCGCCATCCAGTGGCTTTATCAATACAGATTCTAGGACATAACTTGAAGACAGAACTATATACAAAAGATGTCCTAGAATTTGTATTGATAAAGCCACTGGATGGCGAAACGTCTACAATAAAGATACCCAGATTTGCACATGTGTCTTGACTTTCATCTTGTTGGTATTGTATACCATTCTTGCACAAGATTAAGTGCTGAACACCGGATTCCAGGCTGAGGGAATGATTACTCCATTGTTCACTGTCTTCTGTGTATAATTCTCTAAAGGCTGAGGGGCTGATTACCTCGTCTTCTACTGTCTCCAGTTTCGACACCTTCAAATATCTCTACGCTGAACTTATAAAGCCGCTGGTAGGCGCAACGTCTTCCAATAAAACTACCCGGGTGTTGGCTATACATTAATCCTGATCATATATTTTTCTTTGGTTAGGATGGAGGGTGGGTGGTTACTATTGGGAATGGATGGGAGAACACATTTGGATTATAAAAGTTCACGTTGGGTATAATAAAACCAGACTATATTAGCTGCTTGTAAATAATATACAGGAGGGCCTAATACAGCGGTTTTCAATTATACTCATTTTTTATTTATTCAGACTTCCTACAATAAATATATTCACCGCTCACTATAAGCTATGTACTAAAACATTTTAATGTCAGAGCCTGGAACCTGCTGTATAAGCGGGGTCTCCTGTATTTGTAATACAACAAGAATCCACTTTATAACATCTTGGAACTTAATGTAAATCGACATGATATTTATAAACTTAATGTTTAAAATGTGCATTAATATTTAGTAAATGCTTTTTGACTTAATGTACATTCTGTTTAATATAAACTTAAGAAATATATCTAACAGCACTGCAGAGATCATTAGAAATGATAAAGGTATATGATTATGTATAAAAAGTTTGAATGGAGAGCATATTCATCAAGAGAATGATAGTGGCAGGAAGAATTGAGATATCTTAAGAACAGTATGATTGTATATACTACGAGGGGTCTGGCTATATTACCTGTCTTGTTGTACTTGTGTTGGAGGGTGGTGGTGGTTGTGGTAAGGAGGTGGTGATGGTGGTAGTTTTGTGCGAAGATGGTGGTGGTTATGGTGTTAGTTGTGATTGAGTGGGAGAATGATGGCAGTGGTGGTTATGGTATTGTGGCTGAGTGGGAAAATGGTGTGGTTGTGGTAAGGTGGGGGTGGTTATGGTGTTGTAGTTGAGTGGGAAAATGGTAGTTCAGAACTTACCTTCCAGGTGAGAGGTCGACGCTTGAGGTGACGTATCATGGTGTATCTGGCCAGCATGCTGGGCGGTCGAGTTATACTCAGACCAGATTGCTTGATCCTGAGGACACACTCTTTGTTAACTCTCGCCTCCATAATACATAATGCAGCACCTAAATACATAACTATTTTGAAATACCGTAATATAGTTTTCCCACATGCAAGCTCTGCCTGGGCCAGGAGCAAACAACATTTTCGGGCCCAGTCTTCCCTTGCGGACCACCCTGGACCGTAGGTTGCCTGTGGGCAAGTAAAGAATCTCGTCTCGTGAGTAAAGAATCTCTCGTTTTGTGAGTAAAGAATTTTCGTCTCTATTTAGATTCAGAGTTGGAGTTATATTAGTAAAATACGATTTTTTTATTTGCCTCAGTTAATAAATTGCCTGCACACACATATAAACATTAACATTAAACTTCAATGCAACCATGAAACATCTGACTTTTAAAAAAAACATCAGTAAATTCTTAAACTAATTACTACTAATAATGTAGGAACAATGTATAATGAACAATAAGTCAAACACTGTCATGAAATATAAAACATTGCACTAAGTGGTTCAAATATCCTTCCGCCACTTAAGGGATGCACGCAGGGGATGAATAATAATAATAATAGTAATACTACTAATAATAATTTTATATTTTATTATCACACTGGCCGATTCCCACCAAGGCAGGGTGGCCCGAAAAAGAAAAACTTTCACCATCATTCACTCCATCACTGTCTTGCTAGAAGGATGCTTTACACTACAGTTTTTAAACTGCAACATTAACACCCCTCCTTCAGAGTGCAGGCACTGTACTTCCCATCTCCAGGACTCAAGTCCGGCCTGCCGGTTTCCCTGAATCCCTGAATCCCTTCATAAATGTTACTTTGCTCACACTCCAACAGCACGTCAAGTATTAAAAACCATTTGTCTCCATTCACTTCTATCAAACACGCTCACGCATGCCTGCTGGAAGTCCAAGCCCTCGCACACAAAACCTCCTTTACCCCCTCCTCCAACCTTTCCTAGGCCGACCCCTACCCTGCCTTCCTTCCACTACAGACTGATACACTCTTGAAGTCACTCTATTTCGCTCCATTCTCTCTACATGTCCGAACCACCTCAACAACCCTTCCTCAGCCCTCTGGACAACAGTTTTGGTAATCCCGCACCTCCTCCTAACTTCCAAACTACGAATTCTCTGCATTATATTCACACCACACATTGCCCTCAGACATGACATCTCCACTGCCTCCAGCCTTCTCCTCGCTGCAACATTCATCACCCATGCTTCACACCCATATAAGAGCGTTGGTAAAACTATACTCTCATACATTCCCCTCTTTGCCTCCAAGGACAAAGTTCTTTGTCTCCACAGACTCCTAAGTGCACCACTCACCCTTTTCCCCTCATCAATTCTATGATTCACCTCATCTTTCATAGACCCATCCGCTGACACGTCCACTCCCAAATATCTGAATACATTCACCTCCTCCATATTCTCTCCCTCCAATCTGATATCCAATCTTTCATCACCTAATCTTTTTGTTATCCTCATAACCTTACTCTTTCCTGTATTCACTTCTAATTTTCTTCTTTTGCACACCCTACCAAATTTATCCACCAATCTCTGCAACTACTCTTCAGAATCTCCCAAGAGCACAGTGTCATCAGCAAAGAGCAACTGTGACAACTCCCACTTTATGTGTGATTCTTTATCTTTTAACAACACGCTTTTTGCCAAGACCCTCGCATTTACTTCTCTTACAACCCCATCTATAAATATATTAAACAACCACGGTGACATCACACATCCTTGTCTAAGGCCTACTTTTACTGGGAAATAATTTCCCTCTTTCCTACATACTCTAACTTGAGCCTCGCTATCCTCGTGAAAACTCTTCACTGCTTTCAGTAACCTACCTCCTACACCATACACCTGCAACATCTGCCACATTGCCCCCCTATCCACCCTGTCATACGCCTTTTCTAAATCCATAAATGCCACAAAGACCTCTTTAGCCTTATCTAAATACTGTTCACTTATATGTTTCACTGTAAACACCTGGTCTACACACCCCTACCTTTCCTAAAGCCTCCTTGTTCATCTGCTATCCTATTCTCCTTCTTACTCTTAATTCTTTCAATAATAACTCTACCATACACTTTACCAGGTATACTCAACAGACTTATCCCCCTATAATTTTTGCACTCTCTTTTATCCCCTTTGCCTTTATACAAAGGAACTATGCATGCTCTCTGCCAATCCCTAGGTACCTTACCCTCTTCCATACATTTATTAAATAATTGCACCAACCACTCCAAAACTACATCCCCACCTGCTTTTAGCATTTCTATCTTTATCCCATCAATCCCGGCTGCCTTACCCCCTTTCATTTTACCTACTGCCTCACGAACTTCCCCCACACTCACAACTGGCTCTTCCTCACTCCTACAAGATGTTATTCCTCCTTGCCCTATACACGAAATCACAGCTTCCCTATCTTCATCAACATTTAACAATTCCTCAAAATATTCCCTCCATCTTCCCAATACCTCTAACTCTCCATTTAATAATAATACTAATGCTAATAATACTTTATTTCACCATGATAGTGTTTATACAAAGGTGAATAACATTTAGGTGTACATGCAGAAAGTCCCTTAAAGTTGAATACCACCTGTTCACCACAAATCACAAATGCTTAAAAGGGAATTAAAGTGAGATTCAGTGTATATACACAGTTACATTCACCTCCTTGTTTGTGTATGTATTGGGATGGGGGGAGGGGAGGAAGCTTCGTAATGACACCACTTTAGAATTGCATATTGGAAATTTATACATGAAACCCCCGGGACCTGCTCATGGCTCGTATCTTGGTTGACCAAGTCCTCAGCTCACACACTGAAGAGCCGGTGATCGCTCCAATGCACTCTTAGACATGTTTCCTTAGTAAGCTGTTTTGGGTCGCTTCCTGGGGGAAAAAAGATTAAAGCACTGTAATGGAGAGAGAGAGAGAGAGTCCCCGACGACACTGACTTGACTGGGAGATCCTGGGTGCCTAAACTTTTCCCCGATTAAAAAAGATAAACAAACGAAATCTTTATCATTTAACTGTAAAAAAAGTAATCAATCCTAGGTCAGTAAGTTTATTTAGGTATACACAAATACAGTTACATAGATTATCATACATAGCAGCACATGTGTAGAGTAACCCAGGATAAGATAAGATTTCGATCGGATTTTTAACCCCGGAGGGTTAGCCACCCAGGATAAGCCAAGAATGTCAGTGCGTCATTGAGGACTGTCTTATTTCCATTGTGGTCCTCAATCTTGTCCCCCAGGATGCGACCCACACCAGTCGACTAACACCCAGGTACCTATTTGCTGCTAGGTGAACAAGACAACAGGTGTAAGGAAACGCGTCGAAATGTTTCCACCCACCGAGAATCGAATCCGGGCCCTCCGTGTGTGAAGCGGGAGCTTTAGCCACCAGGCCACCGGGCCATTAAAATCAAATCAAATCAAGTTTATTCTTTATAAGGGTTACAATGTGGGGTTTACAGGATTTGGATATTGTGTGGTTTACGTTATAAAATACTAATTACAGAGGGGGCCACTAGGACATCTAGCATGGCTAGGCATTTCGGCCAGACTTAGATTAATTCTTAACATTAAATCCTTACAGATTATGGTATTAAGGCTAGGTGACTACATTATAATTTGTGAGTTTAGCAATGTGAATGCTTTTGTTTTAGCACAATACAAAGTGTCTATATTGGAGTATCATAAGCAAACTTATGACTAGTTAGGATTCATTATTTTAAGATTAAGATTAGTATTTCTGTGTTTATAGTCAGTGGGTGAGTGTAATTGTGAACCACCAGGTGGTTATCATGTAGTTAGTTGTCGGGGGTGTATCAGGGAGATAAGATGTTTCTAACTGTAGTTTTGAAAGTGATGAATGTGTTTGCAGTTCTAGAGTTTTCAGGTAGGGTGTTCCAGATTTTAGGTTCTTTGAAATACATTGAATTTTTGTAAAGGTTTAGTCGGACACGGGGAATGTCATAGAGATGTTTGTGTCTGGTGTTATGCCTGTGGATCCTGTCACAGCTATCAAGAAAGCGTTTTAGGTCAAGGTTAATATTGGAATTTAAGGTCCTGTAAATATAGATTGCACAGTAGTAAGTGTAGATGTTCTGAACAGGGAGTAAGTTTAGATCTATGAAGAGTGGGGGGGTGTGTTGCCAGGGATGGGATTTAGTGATTATTCTTACTGCGGCTTTTTGTTGGGTTATTATTGGTTTTAGGTGTGTTGCTGCAGTTGAACCCCAAGCGCAGATAGCATAGGTGAGGTATGGATATATAAGTGAATGGTATAGTGTGAGAAGGGCAGTTTGCGGCACGTAGTATCGTATCTTGGAGAGGATCCCCACCGTTTTGGATACTTTTTTTGTTGTGTGTTGGATATGGGTGCTGAAATTTAGGTTGTTGTCGAGGTATAGGCCAAGGAATTTGCCCTCATTATATTTGGCAATTAGTGTTGTCGATCTTAATTAATGTTAAGTTACGCAACACCTGCTCTGCTACCAAACATAATATAGCAGGTTTTGTCAGTGTTAAGTGTAAGTTTATTGGCTGTCATCCAAGTCGATATTTTGAGCAGCTCCTCGTTAACAATGGTGTTGAGGGTGGCAAGATTAGGGTGGGAGATGACATAAGTCGTGTCGTCAGCAAAGAGAATGGGTTTCAGGTGTTGGGATATGTTTGGAAGATCATTGATGTAAATGAGGAAGAGCAGGGGTCCAAGGATGTTCAGGATGTCGTCAGTATGTCTTTGTTCCACTAATGTCATCTATTCCTCAACCCCCCAGGATACGACCCACATCAGTCGCCAAACACCCAGGTACCTACTTACTGCTTGGTGCACAGAGGCAGCAGGTGTGAGAAAACATGCCCAGCATTTCTGCTCGTCCGAGGATCGAACCCCGGTCTCAATGTGCTATATACTCTCATTCCACCAGATGGTTTACTGGTAATCTTACTTCGTACTTAAAACATTTTTTTTTTTCGAAAAAAAAAAAAAAACATAATAGGTTATCCAACCTAAACGAACACATATTAAGGTTATTAATAAGATTTAACTAGCTTACGCTATATATAATTTCGTTTTCTTTCATTGAAGAGCAAAATTCATTTTTTATGATCATTTTTAATGGCTAACTAAATAAATGTACCATTACAAAACGCGTATTTGTAATTCGCGAAATTGTATGTTTGGTGATTTTTCTTAGATATTTCTCAAGTGTGAATCTTAGCAGGGTATTACTTGTATTTATACTTATATTATTAAATATTGCTTATAGCCAGGAGCTGAGTCTCGACCCCTGCAACCACAATTAGGTGAGTACACCCAAAGGTGTCTTGTGGCTCGGTTCATAATACACTGAGCTGAGTGTCCGTGGTTCGATCCCCGGTATAGGTGGAAAGGTTGGGCATGTTTCTTAACACTTGCTGTCCCTGTTCACCTAGCAGTAAGTAGGCCGCATCCTGGGGGACAAGATTAAAGGACCCGAATTGAAATAAGTCACATTGCCTTTTTTTGGGTTATCCAAGGCAATCTACACATGTGCAGCTAAGTATGATAATTTATGTAACTGCATTTACGTGTACCTATACCTGAGTAATATAGTTCTCGACGACGCACTGATTTTTAGTTATTCAGGATGGCTAACTCTCCCCTGGGTTGAAAATCCGAACAGTATCTTATATCTCAGGATATATTCACTGAGTTTACTTTAAATTCTATTTTAGATATTTAAGTGTCCCTGATTAGTGGTGTACAGGTAATCTCTAGCTTTGATGACCTTCTTGCAGTCGATAAGATTTTTGTTCGGATTATTAACCCACCAGGCTAATAATCCGAACAAAAATCTTAGGTAACCTGTAACATCAGAAACGGCAAAGGAGAAGCAGATGAAATACGTAAACTGGTATATAAGTAGTAGCAGTTACAGGAGTAAATAAAGAGAAGGACCTGGTATTAAATATTACACCAGAGGTTCATATAAACAAGTTTCAGCAGCGCATATTATGTTAGTAACTCTTAAGAAAATTGTCGTCGGAAACGTCAGTATAGAGTCCTGAAGGACACTGCACACGGCAAAACCTGTCAGCCAACAAAAAACGAATTCTAAAACCGTTCACAATATCTTGCCTCGTATTTTGAAAGGAAAAAGACCCGAAATTGGTATATTATCAGGGAGCACCAGGGTATATACGCCATAAAATGTATATCGCTCAGAAACATTGTATATATAGTATGTAGTGTATATTTCCCTCGACGCGCGCACACACACACACACACAGGAATGAGGTATAAATACCAATAATTTCCAATGAATGTGTGTATATATAGCATTTAATTTACTTTCTTCTTCAGTTTATGGGTTAAATATGTGTTGTATTTAAATACTTCACATTACCAAGCCGCTGGTGGCCTGATGGACCACGGGTATCACTTACCTGTATCCCATATCATCGTCTTCACCACCCCAGCCCCAGTACATGTTGGAGTAGCCGTTGAGACGAAGGAAGTGATCCCCTCGCACGCTGAGCACTCCACCAGCCAGCAGGAAGTATGGTAGCCTGCAGGGCAAGACACCTCCGTCAGTACTACACTACCAACAACCAGTAATACAAGTATAGATGATAAATAACAATGGCGTATCTGAAAAAGAAAATTACACCAAATCATCAAATCGGAAAAATGAACGAAGTTTCCGTTCGTAGGTAATTGTGCAGCACCGACCGAAACATTGTCCAGTTTTAATTTTCAATTTGTCTGTTAATTGTGAATTCAGGCGTTCATTGAGGCACCAGCTAACGTGATCACAAATGACAGGCAGTACAGATGCTTGCCTCCTGATACCTCAGTTTATATATTATTATTACAATCAAGGGGAAGCGATTATGCAGCGCCTGTAGGGGGGATGTGGAAGGTATTCAGGCTTAATTCAGGGAACCGAAGCACAGATCCAGTTCCCTAGACCAAGAGCCCCTCACCAGCGTCAAGGAACCTTGAGGAATCAGTTTATATAGATTAGATAGGTCTTCTGGAATGATTTAGTAACAAGACACCTAGCACCCAGTATGTGGAGACCTAAGGTGATATAAAAATCATGACAGCCTAACCAAACATTATCTACTAACTCAAGAATATAAAGCGACGGCTCAATCCATCCATCCAGCCGACATCTCAATTTAGCTGCCTCGCAACCTGTACCTCAACTTTAACTGACCCAGTGAATATTATACTACCTTCGCAACTATCAACTGTCACATAGACAGAGAAGGACCTGGAACTAAAACTAAATATAATATCAGATGTATAAACAACAGCAGTTCAAAGATTATACGTACTACAGCTCTACACCTCGTAAGGCCATATTTAGATTTTACGAAGTGGTTCTGATCTCTAAACTTCAGAATGGATATAAATGCATTAGAGAACAAAAAGATCGGTGACGGAACTTACACTCGTCCTTTCAGAGACGTAGGAGAGATATAGCTGAAGTATGAATTAGGAAAACAGGTATAAATGGGGGAGATATAAATAGGATTTTGAGGATATCCAACGAAGAAGTGGATTTAAGTTGGATAAATTCGGATTCAAAAAAGATATAAGAAATTAGCGCTTTGGAAATAGTTGTACACGAGGGTGAAAAATCTACCAATTAAAGTGATTGAAGGTAGCACACCTTGGGTAACCTCAGAAATAAAGTATAATACGACGTTCTAAATGAAACCTACAGTGTACTGTAAGCTTCCCAAGTCTCCCAAGCTAAACATATAGATGATCCAGTGTACAAGTTACCCACACTAGTAAAATTCAGTGATGCCCAACTAGAAGCTCATTCTACCATAAAAAATAAAGTGAACTACTTTATATTGACAATCAAATTGTGGAAAGTTTTGGATTTTCCTAAATTCAGCATGTGTAAATTTGAATAATACAATTGTGTAATCTGTATAATAAAATATGATGCTGATCTGACCCTTTCGATAAATTTCGAGGGAGGTGTAGAACAGCTGCTGAGTGACGCCGGAAAAGGGGATGACATTTGTAATTTGTGGGCACTGCTTGTGGAAAATTCAGCTAATAATCCGGCATCTTTGTGGCCAAATTTTTTTTTTTGGCCTGAATTTGTAATAGGAACCTGTGTTAATGTCCCCTGCTGAAGAATTGGGACAGGAAATTTGAGGGATCCCAAGAATTATGTGTGGTTGGTGGAAGATAAGGGGTACGATCATCACTCACAGGGAAGTGCACCATTAGTCCTTTCATTTAGATCTCTGGCCAGTGTAGGGTCTAGGTGTTAGGCAAATGCAGTGGTTTGATCCATTTACAGTAATTAAATAGTAAATGGTAATACGAATTTCTTTTGTGTACCCAGCAAGCCTAATCATATACAGTCCACAACTTTAATTTACCAGAGAAGTGGTTTTAATATTGTAATTATTAATTTAATGTAAGGTCTAGCTTTTTGTGTGAGTGGTGATGAAGTGGGCATCGAGGGAGTCACAGTCCTGCGACCTATTGAGACTTAAGTCCCACTTATTTCACCCAAATTACTTGCAGGTAATAATTCGGGTAATACCCTGTAAACTTTGCGCAAGAAATTTGCTCACATAATAATTCACAATAAAAATAAACTCGACGAAATAAAGCAGGATATACTCCAAGAGGTGTATGCTTCTGTATATATACAGAGTTTATTTTAATGATTATTTTAGGGGTTAAAATATTCTTAACTCATAGTTAACAGGTTACATGAAACCTTAATGACTCTAGTGTCAAGTCAATTAACCAATCAAGTAGGTAAAAATCCCTGACTAGAAAAAGCTCTTTGACGCTCATTTATCTGACCTACTCAACAAACAAGCAGATTAACTCGAACAACATCACCTAGCTATTGTCATGAAGAATTAAGACACTCGTGCAACATATACAACATAAGTGTCTCAGTTTTTCAACTTGTCGGTTTTCAAAACCATTCATCACAGCTATTGTCATAAACATTCCTGCGCTCCCACAAACTCACAAGTTTACTGCCTTGAAAATTCTCCTCAAGCTAGTCGAGATGAGCCGAATGTAATCACTGAGCCTAGTCATCTTAGACAAACCTGAAGCTAGGTGGCTGTATGACCCTTGTAGATTTAGCGCTTCTTTTTTATTATGATAATAATGAAGTTAGACGTAGAGTCCTGCTCAGATTTCCTAACCCTTCAATTGAAAAAGATTACCTTCAGACTTACACTACAAAAAAAAAATGGCTTTGTAAACGAATGTCTTACACACGAGTGACAGAATGTTTTATTCAGGCTTAGAAAAGTCCGTCTGAGCGATTGGAATAAAATTCAACGGTCCAACCAGCGTTTTGTATGAGGTGTAGAAACTGTGGCTTGAAACAGTCACAAGAGATGAAATATCCAGTGAGCAGGACTCATTCATTATATTAATAGTGTACAATACAGGACCAACTCATTATATTAATGATTTACAAGACAAGTTCCTCAGTGATTTCCTAAATAAACATGTTAATGATACAGTATTGATTGAATCAGTGAGTACCAAACTGTCTTTCGTTAGCAGAGTACTTGTGAGGAAAAAGCCCTTAAAAAGCGGAGGTTATGGTTGTTCAGACTCAGGAACCATTAGTGTGTTACCGCCCGCACTACCATGTAGCGGGCTGAGGATAAACTTCAGGTCCTCGGGTCTGATTTACTTTAATTTCTTCTACTGGTAGTATTAACCTTACCTGGTGTGGGTTGAAGTTTGGAAAATCACTTCACCTCCACTCTTCTCCTGATCAAGTAAGGTGATCTACCAGGAGTATTTCTGTTCATTGTTACTGATTTACCTGGTTACTAGTAATGACACTGAAGTAGAATACCACCCATTGTCGTTCTTCAGTGTTATAGTTATTAACCCTTATGTAACCAGTGTTTTTTTTTATCAGCTCTACTGCTGGCCTGGTCAACCAGGATAGATGCTAGTTAACTGGAGCAAGATCCTTGTTAATGGGACATAACGACTCCTCATCACTTTGAAAGCTGAAGTGTGGAACTTCGACCAAGTATAGACAGAAATTTCCAGAACATCGGACGAACACCGCCACCCAGGATGAGAACATAAGAAAGAACACTGCAACAGGCCTACTGGCCCATGCGAGGCAGGTCAGTTCTCCCACCGGCTTAAGCCAATGCCTTGACCTAGTCAGGTCAGTCACATTCACTTAAGGAAGGAGTACGGCATCTGACCTAGTAGCACAAGCTAGTCAGGTCCAACTCACACCCACCCACACCCACTCGTGTATTTATCCAACCTATTTTTAAAACTACACAACGTCTTAGCTTCTACGACGGTACTCGGGAGTTTGTTCCACTCATCCACAACTCTATTACCAAACCAGTGCTTTCCTATATCCTTCCTGAATCTGAAAGTTTCCAATTTAAAACCATTGCTGAGTCCTGTCTGTCAGATATTTTTAGCACGCTATTTACAACCCTTTTATTAATTCCTGTTTTCCATTTATACACCTCGATCATATCCCCCCTAATTCTACGCCTTTCGAGAGAGTGCAGATTCAGGACCCTCAGTCTATCATAGGGAATATTTCTGATACATGGGATCATCTTTGTCATCCTCCTCTGTACGTTTTCCAGTGCATTTATATCCATTCTGTAATACGTGACCAAAACTGCGCAGCATAATCCAAATGAGGCCTAACCAAGGATATTCAGAGTTGAACACCTGTGGACTTCTATTTATACTTCTTGCTGTGGAGCCAAGGATTCTGTTAGCTTTATTGCGAACACTTACGCACTGTTGTCTTGGTTTCAGATTAATGCTACCCAGAACTCCTAAATATTTTTCGGAATCCGTAATATTAAGATCTAACGAACACCATTTCTTCTAAAACATCACAGAAGACCATCCTGGACATAAGATACTCCAGTATCGACATCCTACTGGAATCACAGCGGCCAATTTTATTTTACTTCATTTTAATTAAAATCCTTTGAAAATTACATTAGTTACTCCTCAAGTTAGTCATTAGTTTTTCCATTCTCTTGTTCAGGCGTTTCCCTGACGTACTGGCTAAAATCTCTCGCTAGTGTATTCAACATCCCTGGGTACAGAGCCGTCCACAATTGTAGAGCAAGAAAGGTAAACGTACTGTTGTTTTTATAAACTAATTAATTCAATTGCACGAATGTTGTGAATACCAGTGATAAGTATATTGAATATATAATTGATCCATTAAAATCAAACAATATTAGTCAAATAACAATTGGAACGATTTAGTGAATCTTTCACATTAATTTACTAAGCTTCAGTGATAGTCTGAGACATGATGATAAACACAATAAGTCAGAACCACATGATTACTGGAAAGAAAAACTAATTTTTGTCATACAAAAAAAAATTGTCAATCTTCCTTAAACAGCACGTATTCTTGCCTCCTAGTACCCTCCACCAAACCAAAAAACACCAGCTTGGGTTCTAGCTCACATCTGCACCAACATAATAGCACCTCATGGTGCCATCATTGATAGAAAACCCGACTATTTCCCTTTTATCATTAACATTAAAAAATCTCAAACAATACCAAAAGTTTTTACAGATTCCATAACGATGCTCCAGTTAACTTTTTCGAAGATATTAAAAATGCAAATTGTGAGAGAGTTAAGTCCCAGGTATGACAAATTCTGGAGGTAGGTTTCCCTAAAATATCACTGCAACATACACTGCCCACAAAAAACTCAAACAAATAATTTAAAGGCTAAGCAACTTATCACTCGCAGAAGGCTTGCTCAGGTCACTCTTAGATAAGACAGTAACGAGAGGTCTAAGTTGGGGCTCACCAAGAATGTAGTCAAGCGGAGCTCTGCAACCTTCACAAGAGTAATAATATACAAACAAAATCACTTTCCAAATATTTTTAAAGACACTAAAGGAAAAGGTTAAAGAAAAAATATGAAAAGTCCACTTAAACATCTAGGTTAAGAAATCGTCTCGATAATTGAGAATCTCTCCCTCTTAGCTACTGAAGCTGTCAGAGTATAAGGTGGTGTTATCAGCTCTCGGACTATCACCGTGGCTAGAACATTTCGCACAATTACCCAAACTTAGTAGAAGGACCTTATGATCATGTCCATCTGGCTTGGACCATTAAGTTACAATTGTTGTAATTTGACAATGGTCTAGTACGGGTGGCAACATGGTTATAAGATTCCTCTCCCAAGTATGCGCTGTTTTTCTGAATGGTACCAGCCACGGTGTTCTGACTTTCTATTCTTTGCTGATGACACACTACCTTATCATACTTTGACCCTTGACTACTAAACTAAAAAGATCTACACCTGGGTGAGTCATCCTTAATATGAAAAAAAATATACTTTTGGGATTAATCCATGTCCTCGCTTAGATATCAATGTTAAGGAATCCCAGACAGAGAAAAAGGGCGAGCCTTCGTATGTCTGCTCTTATATAACTGAAGTTTAATGTTTGTATCTGTCTCATACAAAACTGTATTAAAATTATAGGTATACACTCTAAAATTCGGTATTGTGTTTCCCAGCTTTTCCTACGAACACCCGGCATTACTCACGAAATCGTAATGACACGATTGCAAACAAACCATACCAGGGCCGGGATTGAACCCGCGGTCATAGTCTCAAAACTCCAGCCCGTCGCGTTAGCCACTAGACCAGCTAGCCACAACAAGATTCGTCCAAGAATCTTATTGTGGCTAGCTTGTCTAGTGGCTAACGCGACGGGCTGGAGTTTTGAGACTCTATGACCGCGGGTTCAATCCCGGCCGGGGTATGGTTTGGTTTACCCGGCATTATCTCGTCTTTAGTTTGTTCATGTAGTTGTACCCCAGCTGACCGTCTCAGCCAATTGTTACACAACAAAAGAAATATGTCAGTGATCACGAAGTCAGATGTTAGGCATCGCACTATGCCTTTACTTATATCCTTAAACCTACTAAATATTAATGTCTTACATACTACTCTTCATTCACACCTTCAAAACACAACCCAGTAGTGCTGAAGCTGACTGAAGAAAGTCCTCAAACTGAAACACAGGCATCACACTCGAAACAAATACTCTCTTGATATGCTTCATGTTCACCTGAACGTCTACAGAAACTCCATGCAGATAAAGGGCCAAAAATGTGGCATAAGTTGCCAGATGAGTGAAAAGAATTGGGTATGAGGAGGACGTAATGCAGTGCTACTCATTATGTTCTAATGACTGGCAACTTTAAAGTGTAATGAACACACTAGTATTTAAAGAAGAGTGCTCCTGAGGAAGAATGTAAAGCCGTAATGGATTTAAGGAAACATGCTGTCAAGAGGAACATTCTTCCTGATGGGATAAACACGAAATGCGAAGAGTTGCAGTTCTGATCTTACTTGTAGCCCAGTGTGTCGACGCCCACGGAGAGGTGCCTGGGCTGGGGTGGACAAGAGTACATGTTACGGTCGTCCTCTGGAAGGAGATCAACGTCGTGGAAGACGAAACAGTTGGCATCGCTCCTCTGCCAAGCCTCCATGAAGCCAGCGTTCATGATGGAGCCTTTGTTGAAGGTAGCGTTGCCAGCCTGCACCACACACAACACTCGGAATAAAATGCTAAAACAAATATACCACACAACTTTTGTAGAAAGTTTGTAAATTAACAAAAATAACTTACCTGTTAACTTTTAACATTTACTCGCATAATCGGTGACTTTGGCTAAAATAAGAAGTGTAATATATATATATATATATATATATATATAATATATATATATATATATATATATATTATCACACTGGCCTATTCCCACCAAGGCAGGGTGGCCCGAAAAAGAAAAACTTTCACCATCATTCACTCCATCACTGTCTTGCCAGAAGGGTGCTTTACACTACAGTTTTTAAACTGCAACATTAACACCCCTCCTTCAGAGTGCAGGCACTGTACTTCCCATCTCCAGGACTCAAGTCCGGCCTGCCGGTTTCCCTGAACCCCTTCATAAATGTTACTTTGCTCACACTCCAACAGCACGTCAAGTATTAAAAACCATTTGTCTCCATTCACTCCTATCAAACACGTCACGCATGCCTGCTGGAAGTCCAAGCCCCTCGCACACAAAACCTCCTTTACCCCCTCCCTCCAACCTTTCCTAGGCCGCACCCTACCCCGCCTTCCTTCCACTACAGACTGATACACTCTTGAAGTTATTCTGTTTCGCTCCATTCTCTCCACATGTCCGAACCACCTCAACAACCCTTCCTCAGCCCTCTGGACAACAGTTTTGGTAATCCCGCACCTCCTCCTAACTTCCAAACTACGAATTTCCCTCGCATTATATTCACACCCACACATTGCCCTCAGACATGACATCTCCACTGCCTCCAGCCTTCTCCTCGCTGCAACATTCATCACCCATGCTTCACACCCATGTAAGAGCATTGGTAAAACTATACTCTCATACATTCCTCTCTTTGCCTCCAAGGACAAAGTTCTTTGTCTCCACAGACTCCTAAGTGCACCACTCACCCTTTTCCCCTCATCAATTTTATGATTCACCTCATCTTTCATAGACCCATCCGCTGACACGTCCACTTCCAGATATGTGAATACATTCACCTCCTCCATACTCTCTCCCTCCAATCTGATATCCAATCTTTCATCACCTAATCTTTTTGTTATCCTCATAACCTTACTCTTTCCTGTATTCACTTTCAATTTTCTTCTTTTGCACACCCTACCAAATTCATCCACCAATCTCTGCAACTTCTCTTCAGATTCTCCCAAGAGCACAGTGTCATCAGCAAAGAGCAACTGTGACAACTCCCACTTCATGTGTGATTCTTTATCTTTTAACTCCATGCCTCTTGCCAAGACCCTCGCATTTACTTCTCTTACAACCCCATCTATAAATATATTAAACAACCACGGTGACATCACACATCCTTGTCTAAGGCCTACTTTTACTGGGAAATAATTTCCCTCTTTCCTACATACTCTAACTTGAGCCTCACTATCCTCGTAAAAACTCTTCACTGCTTTCAGTAACCTACCTCTTACACCATACACCTGCAACATCTGCCACATTGCCCCCCTATCCACCCTGTCATACGCCTTTTCCAAATCCATAAATGCCACAAAGACCTCTTTAGCCTTATCTAAATACTGTTCACTTATATATTTCACTGTAAACACCTGGTCCACACACCCCCTAACCTTTCCTAAAGCCTCCTTGTTCATCTGCTATCCTATTCTCCGTCTTACTCTTAATTCTTTCAATAATAACTCTACCAATACACTTTACCAGGTATACTCAACAGACTTATCCCCCTATAATTTTTGCACTCTCTTTTATTCCCCTTTGCCTTTATACAAAGGAACTATGCATGCTCTCTGCCAATCCCTAGGTACCTTACCCTCTTCCATACATTTATTAAATAATTGCACCAACCACTCCAAAACTACATCCCCACCTGCTTTTAACATTTCTATCTTTATCCCATCAATCCCGGCTGCCTTACCCCCTTTCATTTTACCTACTGCCTCACGAACTTTCCCCACACTCACAACTGGCTCTTCCTCACTCCTACAAGATGTTGTTCCTCCTTGCCCTATACACGAAATCACAGCTTCCCTATCTTCATCAACATTTAACAATTCCTCAAATATTCCCTCCATCTTCCCAATACCTCTAACTCTCCATTTAATAACTCTCCTCTCCTATTTTTAACTGACAAATCCATTTGTTCTCTAGGCTTTCTTAACTTGTTAATCTCACTCCAAAACTTTTTCTTCTTTTCAACAAAATTTGTTGATAACATCTCACCCACTCTCTCATTTGCTCTCTTTTTTACACTGCTTCACCACTCTCTTAACCTCTCTCTTTTTCTCCATATACTCTTCCCTCCTTGCATCACTTCTACTTTGTAAAACTTCTCATAAGCTAACTTTTTCTCCTACTACTACTCTCTTCACATCATCATTCCACCAATCGCTCCTCTTCCCTCCCGCACCCACTTTCCTGTAACCACAAACTTCTGCTGAACACTCTAACACTACATTTTTAAACCTACCCCATACCTCCTCGACCCCATTGCCTATGCTCTCATTAGCCCATCTCTCCTCCAATAGCTGTTTATATCTTACCCTAACTGCCTCCTCTTTTAGTTTAGTTTATAAACCTTCACACATATAATATACACATATATATATATACACACACACACACACACACACACACACACACACACACACACACACACACACACACACACACATAATATAAATAATATATATATATATATATATATATATATATATATATATCTCAACAAGAACAGTACGACTAGCCGAAGGCGCGAACCCGTGTTGTTTTTGGCTCGCCTCATGATAAGCGAAAATCACACGACGCTTTAACCCACAGGACCACCCAATCCTACAAAGATCACGTACCCAGCAGAGCTAGGTGTTGTGCCGTGATCCGAAGACATACGGTGGTGTGGGTGCCTCAGAGCTAATTTCATTCTACTCTCCGTTTGGTGTACTAGACTCCACAAGCAGTATACATCGTATTGTAACCACGGTAATCCCAGGGTGAGAGGAGTGAGGGAAGGCGTTATCCCAGGGTTGGAGGGGGTGAAAGGGAGGAGTGAAGGAAGGGATGGGCCCCGGGCTGGAGGGGTGATCCCAGGGTGGGAGGGGAGGAGGTGACATTTAATGGAGCACTCGACCAGCTAATTACCTCTCACCGCTTCTCTCCTCCCCCTCCCCTTCCCCCTCCTCTCTCCTCCCCTTCTCCCCCTCCCCCCGTCACAGGTCCATTTTTCATTTTTTTCTTCACTGTACCATAATGGTAGTGAAGGTTTCTTAATTTACGGAACTGAAGCATCCGTCCCCTTCCTTGGATTAAACATGATTCCCTCCTGCACCCCAAGTGCTGCATAACCCCTACGGGTACAACGCTTTCTCCATGAATATTATGACGGTAACTATTTTATTAATTATAGGGAAGGGCTAAATCCGTAAGGCTTAAAGAATTCCAGGAGAATGAGGGGATAACGAGGTTTGATCCAAGGAAGGGAATTGTAGCTCTAGTTCCTTGGATCATGATCCACTCATTAACATCAGATCTTCCCATTTGAATGGCAAGACTGTAAAAATTATATATATAATAATTATTAGTAATAAATATATAATATGTGATACTTTTATTATTATTAATAAAGGTATTTGATAATTGAGAGCTGCGTCTCCCACCAGAGTGACACCACCAGAGTGACACCACCAGAGTGACACCACCAGACACCACCAGACCAAAACACATTCACCGTTATTCACTCGATGCATATTTTACCAGCAGCATGCTAACATCACAGTTCAGTTGATCTTTTTTTTTTTTTTTTTTTTTTTTTTTTTTTTTTTTTTTTTTTTTTTTTTTTTTTTGGTCCAGCGTGTCAAGCGTGCCTCGTTGTGCTCCCGGTTTTCTCGTGTTTTCACGGTCGCTCTTACGTGCTAGAACTTTAATTTGTGTCATCAATCCTATACGATACATCCCTCTAGCGCCTGGAACCAATCTTGGGCGGAAAACATTATATACTGAGTCAAAAAAGGAGAATTAGTGTGCACTGCGTAGCAGAGTTTACTGCCAGAGGGGAATCATAGGCCTGTGTCCCGTGTGGAAAAAAATAATAATAATTGAACTTTTCATGTCAGAGGAAAGAAAGTCTCCCTGATATCATTGAGTATACATAGTGTATAGTGTATACTACAGTGGCTCCCTAGTATAATTGATGATAAAGGCTAAAGTGTCATTTGAAAACAGGTGAATTTGTAAATGAAGTGATAAGCCTATAGAGGAAGGTGCCAGAAGTCGCCAGAACTTACCACAGGTCAGCTGTTTTTAATAATCTTCCTGGCCTGCTAGTGTACTCGCATATAATCTAGTGATACCAGTGAATAGCAGAATACAGTGTTGTAGTAGCAACTAACCAGTATTATAATGGTACTTAGTGGAGTGGAGTGACTTTCATTAGTTTCTTTTCTTGAAATACGAGACGTTACTGTGAATTTCATATAACCTGTAGTTACCAGCGGTCGCAATATACACAACGAGAAGCAATTATTACTACAGAAAAGCGTCCTTCCTCCAAAATTTGCACCAGTCAACTATAGTGATAATATAGCATTTATTGCGGTGGAGACGGAAAAAAAAAAAAAAAAAAAAATAGAAAAGCCAGATACAGCGATTGATAAACAAGGAGGTGACCGTTCGTCATTGTAGGAGCTGCCAGATATCACCGGCTCTTCAACACGCAAGTTATACTTTTGTATCAGTCAAATCACATATTACTCGGGTAGATAATTTCCAGTAGATCCTTCATGTGTTAGCTCAAATCACCGACCAGTATGTTTTAAATAAGTGACCCACTGATCAGAGCAGATCGACTGGTCCGGACCCTTGACTGGTCCGAACCCTTGACTGGTCCGAACCCGGGACTGGTTTTCAAACAGTTTCGTTGGACAATAAAGCAGACTGTAAACGGATGGGGTTGTAGGCGCCCTTATAAACACAAACATTAAAAAATCAGG